CCCCTCTACTATCTTGTTTGCATCCCCAGTACTCAAGTTAAGTACAGATGTTATTTCCTTCCTCCCTGCTTCTACCCAGCTCTTTAATTCTTAAAAAATATTAGAAAAACAAACCATCAAACATCTCCAAATATGGTTGCTCTTGTTCAGTAGCACTGAGTTTCCACTTATAGGAATTCCAATTTTAAGTCTTCATGCAAAAGGCAGCCTGCCTAAAATGTTTTACATTTTAAAAATATCACAAATATCTATGGATACCTTTTGCCAGCTCTCACGGCTAACTGGAAGACTGGCTGTAGTTTAGTAAAAGAGTGAATTACAAAAATAAATACTTGGTTCATTTATTTTGATGAACTTATTTTATACTAATTTAATACAGGATATTGCTGTGGGATTAAATACAAGATCTACTTAGGCTCCAATCATAAACAGAGGTTAACGTTACTCTCAGAGGTTTACAGGATCAGAATCCAAGATTACACACTTGTGAAGACAGAGGGTAGTCTCCTCCAGGGTGTGTACAGTGTCAAGCAATATTGAGGGCACTTTTTCCCCCACTAAGTTTCAGGAATAAGATTAATTAAAGTACCTGCTGTTACATTTTCACCAAGAGTTGAATGGGATTGCTAAATTTGACAACTACTAGGTTTGCTAATTACTGAAATGTAAAAAGATGCCACACCACAGTTTCTGTAGTTATCATGCCATTCATTTATGTGCAAGTCAAACTTTTATGAAAGTTGAAAGTTCTGTGAACTTGCCTAGAATTATTCCAGTTTTCAGTCATGAGAAATAGATACAGTAGTACTGGTCTGAAATGCACAAAATATACTTGGGAAAGAACCAACTAGATCAGAATCAAAAACATCACCACTCAGGTCATCTTTTTTACAGCTGCATCCATCTTTGGTCTTCTGACAGTTTTTCCAATTGGAATCTCCCACTGGTGTCCTAGAATAGGAATCTTTCATGTTATCATTAAGCAAGAGAGATAGTAGGAAGTTGGTCTTGATGTTCAAGGTTCTGGAGTTTTAAATTACCCACATGACTTTTAGCCTCCAAGAACTGTAGCATTCCTAACCCCAAGCTGTATCAGTTCCTTAGTAGGTGAAACCCCCCCCAGTTAACTGCTATCATGCCATTGGACTAAATGTAACCAAGGTAGGTTTACACAAACAAGAAATACCATATCACCCATGTTTTTTGACCAATTTATTGGTGCTTCTTTTAAAATAAGTCTATTCAGCAAAAATAGTGTAATTCAAAATAACAGTATCATCATACTGCTGACTGCGAGCAACTGGCTTCAATACATTATCCTTAACCTTAAATTACGATTTTCAACAACAAATATGGAATTCATCTGTCTTGCTATAAAACCTCAAATTATCCCCAATATGATTAAGATTGTATGATCTTGATTAAGAACCATATACACATTTCTGGTTAGGAAATAACCTAGCCCTGTGTTTGTGTTTCTAAGAGTTTTAAATTAAAGATCTGGCGAGGCAATACAAAAAAAAAGTTGCCAAAAAAGTTTAAAAGCACTTTTCAGTAAAGCTCTCTGTTCAGAAAACTGATTATATTCTCAGTCAAGAGCTGTCTTTTGGCAAGACAGATTAGCCACACTGTTTGAAGTGTTCAAGAAAAAAAAAACAAGCAACATCCAGACAGTTGCTCACTTACAGAAAGATGTAGAGCACATCACAACACCTGAAAAACCATGTAACTAAAACAAAGTTAAAACATTCACAAGTGGCCAAAGCCTAACCATTTGGTCCGTGCTACACTCCTGTTTAAAGATCAGGATTAAGAGTTCTTGCTTATTAGGCTTTAAACAAAGTCGAGGCTCTGAGTTCTATATTCAAAAAGATTCACATACCTACAAGCCCATTGGCTTAAATGGGATTTCAGGGATTTCAACAGGAGGATATGTGCCTAAATATCTTTTGGATCTTGCCCCACATCTCTACAAAGACTAATTTGCACCAAACGTCAGCTCAAGATTCACTGCTTATGCAATTTAGATGATGGAAGTTGGCTCTTGCTTTTAAAATGATGGTTTACAATGACAGAACATCATGTTCAGCATTGCTGAAATAATCTGAACAAAAGGGAAGGAATAGAGAAAACAGTCCACAAAAATCAGAAATAAAAGACACCAACAATCCATTTATGTGCAAGAAACTACAAAAATTATAGGCTGCAGCTTATTAGGGATTTGAATCACAGCATCTTACTTGGTATGGATTTGAATCACAGCTTTATATGAAATACAAATTCAGTATTTACATTTTCATCATATTTCTGGTTTACTCATATCAAAGAACAGATTATTAATTTATCAACCAACAATGACTTAATGTGAAAATATGGGCTAGGACTGGAGTAGAATAAAACAGACTTGAACTTCCTTATCATCTCTGATGTGGAAGCTGCATACTTTAGTAATATATCTACAATTCATACCAGTCCCTAGCAGCTACGATTTTTCCAAAAAGTGTCCTTGCCTTAGTTGACTCTACAAGGCATGGTATGTAGAATACCCATTTCTTTTTCAAAAACAAAGTTCCATATGAAAAACAGCATATTTGTTTCTAGTTAATAAAACTGAGCCTCCCTTGTTCAGAATGATGAACAACTTCAAACCTAGAAGCCAAAGACACATATTCAGTTTCTGAATTCAAACAATAGAAAGAGAAAATATAGGAAGTGCTACAATTTAGTAGAAGCACTAAATCTATAGTAACAGGTGAAGTAGGATTGTCTTAGAAACCTATTTTGGATTCAAAATGGAAAGTAATATTGACACTAGAAAAATATGGTCCAACTGGGTGTTTCTGGCAAAGCTGTTCAAGACTGAAACAGTTATTATTTATGGAACACACAAAGCATTACAGAGAGAAATGCTGAAAACACAATCAAAACCTGGCAAGCTAGAATGTAACCTGAAACAGCACATATGCTAGTCTTCCTTTCTCACTTCTGGTCCAATTGCTCAGGAAAGCTCCCCATCCCAGTTTTCACTGTTGTCAGGGGCAATGATTTCCTCTACAATCCCTTTCATAGTCTTCAAAAGTCCATCATAATCTATTATAATCTAAGAGATTAAGTTTCACGACCAAACTTATTCAGAAAAAAAGTCACTATTTCAAAGATACAGACCAAGACAGCACTTTCATCACCACCACTTCCCTACAAGTGCCTCTCCCCTTTATATGATGACAGGTGAATGTGGACATAGCATCAGATCATCCCTAATTACTGCAACAAGATTGAAAGGCTGTTCCACTTAATGTGTTAAATCAAGGTCTAACCAATTAATCTGGTTAAAAAAACCCTTTGCACAAGAGATATTTATCAAAATATCCAGTTTGTTTTGAAAGCAAGTTTCCCACAATGATACTGTCAAATGTTAAGCAAAATTAACTCCTGCTCATTTGGTAAGATGGAACAATAAATGGGGTTTAACACCTACAATTATGGAAGTACACAAAAAAAATCACATATCACAAGCAAAACTCAGACTGTGTACAAATTACAGGCATAAAAATAATAAAAACCCTTGATACTCTGCATCTATGCTGGCAAATACTTTTGCTGATATAAAAGGCACTTTGAAAACCCAATATGGTTTGGTTCATTAAGTTTGCAAAGTACAAACAATTTTACAAACATACCATTATACTGAAGAATGTCAACCATTGTGACATTATGTACAAAACATTTCCAATTCTTGGTAACACTGCTTTTATGGGAAGGAATGGTGGTTTCAGCAGCAGCTTTGAAGATCTGACCCAGGGCTCGCAGTACCACATTCTTATTGAAACAAATGTAATAAGTAAAAACAAAAAAAACCCCAAAAAATAAAAAGTTTGGGGGCCACAAAACACAAGACCCAAAGTCCATAACACATTCTTTTGATATTTACTCCTCAGAGATGAATCCCATAAAAGTAGCCCAGAGATGGCAGTTCATTCGATCTTACTGAACTGTGGGAGAGAAGGCTCTTCCTCAAAAAGTAGAGTTTATACTGTTACAGTACCAGAAAACTTTGGTCCAAAGAACACATTTATGATGTTCTCTACATGACAGCAAAGTCAATCTGTACATAAAGCTGTCTCACTCCAGCCTGTAAACAACAGAAAAACAGAGAAAATTAGTGAACTGGGCAAGCATGTCCCACTCAACTGTACCCTAGCTACTTTCTAAAATTTTATCTGGGAGAACTACCTAATGCATCTGCTAAATACTTACATACTTTTCTTGCAATGCTTCCACCATTCTTAACCAAGCATCCATCAGAAGTGGAACTACATGAGCCCAAGAGTCAAAGATTTGTAGGGATGCTACAAGGTTAAAAATGTGCATCTGAAAGCATAAATCCTTCACATACAGTCTAACAATTCACAAGTACTACAAGTCTAATACATGCAAGCTTTTAAATAACATCAGCCTAATATCTCAAGTCCTCTTTGTATACTGCCCTCTTTAATTAAGCCTTTCGTAACTGCTGTGCCATGAATGAAACTACTCCCAGATAATTTCTATTGTCCTCATTCCCATAATAAACCTCCAGCACTAATCTCAGCATCTCAAAACAAAAGTAAACCCTTGAAACCATGCCAGCTCAAGTGCAGTAAAGCATAACAATATGACATGCAGGTTTGAAATATGAAACTGCCCTACAGCATAAAAGCAGGAATTTCAAAAAAGACCAGTATTGTAATGGTGTGTATGAGAAAGGCCAAAACACCTTTTGGGCATATAGATTATGAACCACTTCTTTTAAAAGCCCTAACGAGTTTAAATGTAAGGAATTCCCTTAACTCTAACACCATTCTATAGAAATAACTATGAGTGAAATCATTAAAAAACTATTAGCTTCAAAATCAAAGTCAGTTACATAGATAATGATGATCCCCGCACACTCCTGGTATTTGACTGCTTCTCAAGAATTTAAGAACAGAAATTATAGCAATAATCCCTTCACTTTCCTGTCATCAAAATATATTAATGTTATTTGCTAACACTTGTCAAATGTGCATGCATTTTCTCCAAGAAATCAAGGTATCTTGTGGAAAAGACAAGCCAAAAAGTTGGGCATTTTGTACTGCAAGTGCAGAGTCCAGTGGTCATTTCCCAGAGAAATAAATTCTATAATGTAGGTCCAATTCCTGTGAAATTCATATCTCAAGCATCCCTCTATTAGGGAATGCTGTTGTTTCAACAACACAGTCATTATGAGACAACATGGGTTTAGAATGAGAAGAGACCTCAGAGCAAATTCCCCAGAGAAGCTTTAATGACCCAGAGAAAGACCTTGAACAGGAGGACTCTTTATATGGGAAAAGTCAAGGGATCAAAGCCTCAAGGTGATGTATTCACAATGACTCACACTGCTAAACAAAAGGACTGCTGCATTTGCTACCAATTGTTAGAAGTTACAACATTACAACTTAGATGTCACAAATAAATGAAACATGCCCAGACCTGTATCTAACAGGATGGGCCACAATCTTCTAATCACATGAAAGACAGGATTTTTCTAACCCCGTGGTTCTTCAAACTTCCTTCAGCGTTAATTGAACCCATCTTGATTCAGTTCTAAGAGCTAAATTCCCATAAAATTAAAAAACACTATAAACTCAAGGGGATGTGAGTACATGTATCTTTCCATCTGAACTTTTCAGATGATCCCATTAAAACTGAAGACTGACTCTGGGAAATAAGGACACATGGACCACATAAAGAGTTCAATTAATGATGCTGGATCTGCAGTCTTACAGTCAAAATTTTCTGCGATGGTGAGATACAGGTATGTGAAAGAAGTCATCCTCCCGAGAAGCCAAACGCAGGATGTGCCTTAGACTGACAGTAGCAAAAGGGGTATCCATCTAGAAATAATATCTCTACGTATATGTTTGGTTCAGAGGTGAAATGACAGGACACTGAAGTTACAGAACAGACAGTTAAGTATCTTGGATTTTACTCATCAAGCAACAAAGAAATGTCTTCTTCTGGAGAGAACTTTTCAGCTCAATTAGAGAAGCCAAAAATCTTTGTGCATTGGGAAAGGAACCCTTTTATCTGACAGATTAACAATTTGTGTTAGTTCAATAGTGCAGATGATTCATTCTTTTCAGGAATGAGCACTATGTTGCATCTTGTGATACTTGGGAATCAGCTCCCGGCTGGGGTTAAGATGTTTTGAACCGTCAGCTTAGATAAAACAAGGTGATGTGGCAGAGTTAATGCAACAGATAATAGCAGTTATTTTTACTGGAGATCACTCTGCTATCATTTGATACTGTACTTTACATCCCACCTACAGAAAAATTCATAATCAATGATGCCTTCCCATGGCAGTAGAGGTGCACTGATGCATCAGTCTGATATCAGATCAGCACTGATATAAAGAAAATTGACTATATCGTAAATTGGCCTGATGTGTCCAATAATGTGGTCGATAAACTGCAGCGCAGAACACAGGCAGTGAGAAGCACAGCACGGCAGCATGGAGAGTTGTGTGCAGCTGGTAAATCTGTTGTGGTGAAAGGGGAGGGAGAAAGCAAGGGGCATGGGGGGGCAGATTAATGCCCCCCATGGTGAAGGCGGGAGTGGGGTTGGGGTAGGCACTGCCCGGCTGGGGCAGGTACGGGACAGAGCCACGGCTTGTCCAGGGGGTGCAGGGCAGCTCCTGTCACTGCATGCTGCTTGTCCGGTGGCTCCTGCCGCTTCTCCAGGAGGGTCCAGGGGGGTGGGGGCAGGTTGTGCTCCTGGATCTGCATGGAGCGGGGTGGGCTGCAGCTGCAGGCTGGGGCCAGGGGCCGTGCTGAGCCCAGGGCAGGTGGCGGTGGGAGGTGGGGGAGGACTACAGCAAAATCTGGGGTGACTGCAGCCCCCCTTCCAGTGTTGCCACTGCCCACCCCAAGTGCAGCACTGCAGCCTGCCCGGCCCGCCCAGCACAGATCCGGGGGGCACACCCCCTCCCCCAGATGAGCAGTGGGAGCAGCAGCGGGAGCCACTCCCCACTCCCTGTGGCTCCTTTCCCACACCCACCCTACCCATACACCACCTACATCAGCCCCACCCCCTCCCTCACCGTGATGCCCCCACATACCTCTTCCCTACTCCCTCCCCTTTTATCACAACAGACTTACCAGCTGTACACAGCTGGATCAGAAATCAGATCAGTCAGTATCAGCTGATATGCCTCCTTAAAAATCAGCTATTGGTATTGGCCCCTAAATCTCTATCAGTGCCTACCTAGTAAACAGTCAACTGAATCCCATTAGTATTTTTTCCTTTAAGGTGCCAGTGGGCATATCTATACAGTATGCAGTAAAGTGTCACTGCCAATATGTGCGGAACAATTATGACACAGTAGACTAATTTACTGCACTGCCAGATAGTCCCATCAGATACAAGTAGTATCCAGCAGCACAGTAAATTATGCACTTAAACACATGTGTTGACAGTGATGTCAGGATTGGTTTACTCTGGCTCAGATTGACCCAGAGTATATTCAGTCACATTCATTGCACTGTGTAGATGCGCCCAGTAAATGACAGAAAAGTTGCTTTGGTTTAACAGACAATTTCCTAAAAAGCATGTTTGTGGGCAGCATTGATTTCAGTAGCCCAGTCTCATCTGGAAATGCTTTTACTAAACCATGCTATTAAGATGCTGAAGTTACTTCTTAACTGTAGATAAAGGGAAATATAGTGATCTCATATCACCATGTGGCAACTGCTGGTAAAGGGTGATTTAATGGTTACCACTGCATGGATGTTGCTAAAGGAACCATATATAATGCAAAGAATGTAGCTTCTCGAAGGTGAGAAGGAAGAATCCCCAAAAGAAGCATCACAGTAAAGGCAGAAGTAAGTTCAGCCTCTGAGGTCAGAAGCCTCATTTATTTTCTTGGTCTCTTGTATGTCAATATGGGGCTTCAAGTTGGCTTTGTTATACACCTCAAAAATTACAGCTTTGGATGTCATATCTCCAATAAGAGATTCCCAAAATTGAATGATAAATAGGCCATTTTTCCATATCAAACAGGACTTTTCCCCTTCCTTTCTGTTTCTGGTAGCTGGTGCTAATAATCAGAAGCTAAACTCTTATCTGCACTTGGACAAGTAATGAAGACAGAACAGCAAAAAATTATTGTTCTGTGTTTTATACCATCTGTCAAAGGGACATCCACATTTTCTCTACCACACTATCATGGTTTTCAGACATCTAACTGCTATTTAGTTTTCACCTTTCTGTTAACAAGTAAAGCAGACATACCTGAGTAAAAATATTGTGAGTCTGGCTTAAAATCCACTTTGCATCAGCATCAGGAGCTACAAATAATTTCAAAGTCCCTATGTAAACATCAGTACAAAGAGTCCAGAAGTGTGGATCATGTAGACTGTAAACTCCTTGCAACTGCTGGACCTAAAATACAGGAATGCAAGCTTCAAAATGAATTTAGAAACAATGCACATTAACAAATACAAGATGCTTTTACAGAAATGTTTACAGAAATGCAGGGACATCCCTTTCAACCTTCACTGGTCCATTAAAGGATTTAGTGATGTTCTTTATTACACATATCCTTTGTTGAAACTTGGCATCATCCACTCATTTGTAAAAACAGTATCACTTGAGACACAGAAAAAGGCACTTGTAGTTATTGCACTGAGTAAAAGGCATTGCGTATCCACTTATTTTCAGCTTAGTCAAGAAGTTTTGTAAAACACCAGAGCTAGTTGGAAATACTGTAGCAACATGTGGTCTTTTTGTTTAAAAAAAAAAATCTCAATTCATTAAAATTTCCTGCAGGGATGCACACATGCCTTGTCTGCCTCTTAATAAAGATGGAATTTTTTTCTCCCACATTTTGGATGAGTGCTAATTACTGGGCTACGGGCTATTCTGAGATAAGAGTCTCCCTCTCTGAACTTCCAAACACACTTAAAACATAGCAGATTCTGAGTATAAATTGTTTCCATCCAACTTTTGTATAAACGTTGAGTGTGACAATGCAATCTCCTGAACTACTGTGGAAAAATCAGTAACTTTTATTTCTTTATGCATCCTCCTAAGATTGCACAGGAGACACCGACCATATGTAGCACATTTGGTACTGTTTGGGCAAAGAGAAATACATTAAGATCTCAAATCCCAAATATGATTCGTTTACATTTACTTCCAATACAAATAATATTCTTCACTTTTACAAAGACTAAAATAGCTACTGAGTGAGAGAGTATTCTCTTGACAGAGAAAAAAAAATCACCAATAATTCAACATCTCCAGCTCTGAACTGAACAACATGCAAGTTCTATATGTAATGCTTGGCTTGGTTTTCCATTATACAGGTCTATATTATGCAGGTTTGCTTTACTACTTGAGAAGGGCTTAGAAATAGTTTGTTCCAAGCCAAAAATGTGTACCCTCAGAAAAAAATTTCTCACACACACGCACAATTACTACCTGGGAGTACAGAATATTTAGAATTTGGGATTTAAGACCATTTTTGGGTATAAATTTAGGATAGATTTTAAGGAAGCAAAGACAGGTTTAGACAACACATTTAAAAAACTTCTCAAAAATACAAATATTTGCTGCTTATTCATTGTCCCAAAATGTCAGAGCTCACCCTCTGATAGCACTGAGGCAGAGCATTTTCCAGAGGAGGAGGAGTGCGTTGCATCAAGATTCCAATGGACTCTCTTAAAAGCGGGACAACACTAAAAAGGAAGAAAACTGATCAACATCACACTGTCAAAGGATGCAAAAGGCAACAGCAATATTACCACTTTCTCCCCTAACTAAAACCTGTCCAAGTGAGGAGACAGCCACAAGCTTCTGAAAAAGCTACAGAAGTCAAAGAACTGATGCAACTACAGTACCAGAGTTCTATAAAAAAAAATGTATCGATTACTCAGTCTACAAACATTTTCTTGCAAGAATAAGAGTTTAACTTGTGGGTTTTGGGATGGAATCTAAAAAGATGTTCTAAAATTTATACAGAAGAAAACAGTGGGTAAATCATAGAGTAAAAGTGTAGTTTAGAACAAAGATCCATTTTAAAAGTTATTTCAATGAGCCATAAAAAATGCAGGAATATTGAAAACATTCTTGCTTTCGTTTCTGGCTTGAGACATATTTTTCTTATAAACCAAGATAATAAGGGGAAGATCATAAAACAAAATTATTATGGGCCAGTTTAGCCATAATGAAGTTATTTGTCAAAAAACAGCCAGCTTAGCATATTTAACTAAGTTTGGGGGGGAGGAGGGGGGCCGGCGGCTCATCCAAGCTCAAGCAGTGAACATTTGGAAGTAATTTGAGGTTCCCTCCTAGCTGTCTAGTTTAATCAGCAAAGAAGAGAATGCTTTGCGTCATCCATGATAGAAGGGTTTTAGACGCTGAACAGATTTTACAATAGGGAGATGCAAGTTCAGTCCTCAGGAGCAAGTGCTGCAAGTTCACATGCTCTTTAACAAACAGAGCATGCTGCTGAATAAACCACAAATAGGGACCCTACACAGCACCTTAAGAATACTATAAATTTGGTTCAGTAAAGCATCATGAAACTTCAGAAAATGAAAAGTATTCCAAGTTATATACTACATAAAGTGAGATGTACATACATTTCCAACAAGCCAGCATTTTAAAAATCACCTGATATGACCTCTGACAGCAGGAATGATGAGGTCAGAAACCATAAACCAGATTCTGATGTTAAATACCATAACATTATATATATTCCAGTTTTGTCTGATCTTGACCAAATAGCAGGGAAGTAACAGAATGAAACTAATCAAAAGAAAATGTAGAATGAATTTGGGGGGGTGGGGGAATCTAGAGTGAAGTCAGTTTTTCAAAGGACATTGAGAAAGCCACATGAAGCACTAGGGAATGCACTGTGGAGAACAATTATGGATTGGCACAGGCAGTGGACAATGACCTCATGGATCATTTCCATCTCTGATTTCTGTTAGTGTAAGGTAAATTGAAGTATCTTACAGGCTTATAGAAGTACAGAAAGCTTTTTCTTGTGAATGTACTTCCATATTACTCATGTCACAAACTGCTGCTAAATACCATATACTAACTGGATATCAATCTACAAGTTAAAACATAGGAAAAGACGACAAGAAGAGGTCTCCTGGGCCATCCAATCAACTACCCTTCATTCACAGGCAACCTGTTATCCAGAGTCCTATATACTGTCCACTTTAACTCCTTACCCCACCCCAAACACCAAATGCATTACAAGACCAAAAATACGCTACGGCATGCTGCAAATAAAAAACAGAGCAGGTATGGGAATTATCAATGTCTTGTTACTGCAAAGGCAAAGACAAGTTTATGTGTTCAGGTGATCCCAGGAAAAAAAATGTTTCCTTACACTACAGGGGAAGGCAAAACCTCCTTGCCAGTCTCACCCAGAGGAAAAATTCCTACCTGACCATAAATCTAGCAAATGGGAGCAGAAGAACAAGACCCTCTAAACTAAGTGAATGAGAAGTTTCTAAGTAGCAGGACTGGCAGCACCTCCCAAACAAATCCCTCCACCCTTAATTGTGTCAATGATCCAGTAGTTCAAAGGAAAGCAAACCATCTCCAAATGAAAACTGGAAAGAAGATCAATCCCTGACACACACCACTAGTAACTGCTCTGCAATCTAACAACATACCTTTCAATACAAACCATTTCCCCCGCTTAGGCAACTGCTTATCTACCTTACAATTAAAGCATTGATCCCTACCTCCTCCAGTTCAGGAAATACATTCTTACAAGGCACAGCTTTGCTTAAATCTAGACAGATTAGATCCACTGCATTGCCCTTATGTAAAGGGTTATCCTATCATAAAAGATATTAGATTGGCATGACGTGATCTTCCTTAAATAAAAACTTTGTGGCATTTTCTGCCATTTTATGTTTATTTTCATACCACTGATTGTTCTTTCCTTCAACATCTGCTCTAAGACCTTCCATAAATAATGTAGTCAGACTAACAGGCCTGTCATTGCCTAGAAGATGACTTCTCCCACCCCTTTTTAAATAGATATTACAGTGGCTATGCTTCCTACTCTACAGCTGCACAGTTGGGATCAGGGGAATTTTATGCCCTAAATCATACGTCCTGCCATACATGTATACACATTTGCCTGCTGCTTTTTCAGTCAGACTTTTTCATTAGATTAGGAACATGCAAAGAATCCAACTGCAAGTAGGTCAGGAAATCCAGTTACTGTGCTGTCTGAACCCGAAATGCAGCTAAAACTTTAAATATGTTCTGTAACCAAGATGATGCTTTGCTCCATGGGTCATTTAGCTCGGTCACTCAGGTTACGAACTTAGCCCAGAAAACATTCAAATGGGAATCACATTGCAATGGACAGAGAAAAACTACACTGTGAAGGCATCAGCAGACCCAAGTTGTGTCCATACTGCCCAGGCTCTTTGTGAAAGGCATCTTAGCAGAAAAAGGAACAGCCTCTCTTTCATGAAAGATCAAGCTTTGATTTTTTTCCAAAACTGCCAGTAAAAGCTACAAGAATCCAAAGTGGTCTGTCATACTGTACCCCCCTCCAGATTTTCCACTGCTTTACACAACATACTAAAAATTTAACCTTTCAGAATAGAATACTTTTGTCACTTTAATAACAAAAGGAACTAATTCTGCAAACAAATGCAGCTCAAATCACTAGAAGATATTGAAAATGCACTGACAACATACTTATGTGACTATAAATATTCCTGGAACCAAACTCATCAGGAAAGAAAATAGTTAATACTAATAGGATAAAAAAGATGGAGAGTTTGGCCAACCACTGTTAATATTTTGATTGCTTTCCACATTTTTTTGATTAGTCATGATAGCACAAACTCTTGGGCTTTGTCTTATGAGACAGCTCGCGTCCTGGCACTTCCTTTTGCTATTATTAACTCTTATTTGCAATAGGCTGAGAAGGAAAGCAAACAGTATAAAAATATTATGAAAAACATCCTGGAGGGGCTGCCTTTTCTTGCTTAAGCAGACTTTAACTTTTGCAACTAACAGGGTGCATCTACATGAGATGTTGTGGAGCTGCCAAATTAGCTCTACCGAAAACATCTCGTGTCTACATGTGCAGTGCTATTAGGCAGGAATAAACTAACTAACTCCGCAACAGGATAGTACTTGTAAATGGAAGCATTATCTTGCTCCACAGTTTTTTACTCCACAGCAGCGCAGATGTAGATGCTGCCCTGGCTGACTAGGACACAAGGGTGCTTCAATGTGGGGGCTGTCTGCTGGCTAACTCCGCACTGGAGCACCTATGCTGCAGCCAACCCCCACCATAACATGTTGAGCTAGGTCAGAGCAACCCCAGGCTGGCAGGCTAACCCCCAGGCCTCATGCCAGCCAGCACTGATCTGACATGGCTCACCACACTGCAGTCCTGGGCACATATTCAAATGGCGTGTCCAGGAGCAATAAACTTCAGCGCAATAAGCACCAGAGTTTATTGCTTTGTATTAATAACATGTATAGACACACTTACAAAAAAGGTACTACCACATTTACTCATATGCTACAGGCACCTTTCCTCCACAAAATTAGCCCTCCCAAATTGGGGCTGTGTGTTTTAAATGAAGACAGTGATTTCCATGCCAGAATGGAAGCATGAGGCTGCTGTAATGGCTGCCAGGGGCTAGCTGTGATGAGCATGCAGGAGAAGTGGATGCCACTCACCACTCACTCTTTCCTTGCAGCTAAAACCTTAACCCTGTCATGGAAGCTGTTGAATTGTTCACAGAATTTGGTAGCAGCCATGACAGGGTTAAAGCTTTAGCTACAAGGAGAGCATGAACAATACTTGATTGAAGACTCTGTCTCTCAGCCATGACTCCAGAAGAACTTTCTTCTCCATTCTATCTTCCTAAAACAAGGTGTGTTATTTGGGGATGTATGGCACGCGCCAGAAGATACACTATTTACAGTGACCCTGATGTCTGGAAATACGGAGGGCTCAACCTACCATGTCTAATTACTAGACAGAGGCACTAACCACAGCAAGAGACAAGGTCCAAATCTGCTGCCTGCAAAACCAACATCAGGCCCACATGAGTAGCTAGCTCAGCTACAACATGCAGTCATAAAGCACACTATGCTTTCACATACCCAGTTATACAGAGGAAGTCAAAGGTGTTAAAAGAGAAAACAAATAAAACCCATACGAGACTGTATTTATGAGATCAAAGCCAGAGCTTTTAGCTAAGACTTAAAGTTTTATCAACAACTCAAATAAGCCAACAATTCTACAGATTCAATTGCGAGCTACAATTCTATCATCGCATAAGATACTGATGTAGTCATTTCCAGTTTCATGAAATGCCACAGTTCAGTTTACATTCAATGTTTGTGTATTGCTCGTGCCAATGCAGCTGTGTCATTGTTGGAAAAAAGCAGGATTTTTCAGGGTAGCAACTTGGACCGCAAGAGTAAAGTAACACATGGGCGAAAATTCTGTATACTCACTGGAGTTATACCACAGACAGGAAGTTAAATTCAAAGGTGTCAGCAATTTAATAGTAAAAATGTTTGTGATAGATTCTGCATCTCAGCAACCTAAACAATTCTTGCTGAGATGCAGAGACCAGCTGCACCCCTCTTCATAAATTTTGGACTTCAACTCTAAATTCAGATTTCAAAATGATTTCTGCCCAGTGGCTACCTTTCTATTTGAAAA